GGCCTCACCTCTGTGTGCAGTAACTTGTATTAATAAGCCCTAGGAATCCATGTTGCATCCTTTATTCATTATCCTGTTAACTTCTACTCTCTTCTTGGTCCTACAATTTCTTTCCTACCAGGTTCTATTGTACATCACAATCTTTACCCAAACCGAATCCAACCTTTGTATCAATTGGAAGGTTAGATAGAATTGGAAAAGGATTTTTAGAGCCACCTGACTCCAAAACAACAACACAACAAAATAAATCAATCAATAAAGACCCTGCCATTATGTAGAAGCCGACTCATACTAATCCTACAGGATAGGGTAGAACTGACCCTGCAGTTTTCTGAGACTGTTATTCTTTACGGGAGTTTTTCTTTTGAGTGGCTTTTACTCTGCTGACCTTGGGATTAGCAGCCTAGCTCATAACCACTATGCCATCAGGGGTCTGACTCCATAAGCCTTAAAATGTTGCCCTGTTGGGAGCCGGTGGCCATTAAGGCCTTAGCCTCAGCCACGGAGCCAAACTTGGCTGCTTCCTGGTTGTTAAGTGTTGTCTTTCATTTGCTAAGCCTGTGGGGGACTGGCCCTGCCTGAAATCCCTGCCCAACCCTACCTCCACGTTCCTAGCTACGTGCTCTGTAGCACGGGCGGTTGTACTAATTGACCTTTTCACCCATTGGTTAATAATGCCGAGCGCTCATTGGACTAAGATGGACTTTGCATTACGCCTGATGAACCTTAATCTGCATGCAGGACGTCTTTGAGGACTAGCGCATGCCCTTTTACCTGCAGCTGATTGTTTAACGGTCTTACGCTTCATTAATGTACATGTTGGATTGGATGTTGTGTAGCACACCTTATTAAAATATGCACCTCCCAGTTCCCCTTTTTTATACCCCAGCTTTGCCCAAATAAATGAGCTTGATCAGTGTTTTGTCTTGCTCCACGTCTCCGTGTCTTTCTCCCATCCAGGTGCGCCTTTCCCAGCAGGGCCTTGCTCGTGCTTCCCGCAGGCTGGGACGCTACAACGCCCTCACTCTCCAAGATGCTATTCGAGGCAAAGTGCAGGTAAGCAACCAAGTCAGCTCTGTTTTATGAGCAGATTATTTGGGTGGAATTTTCTTAGGAAACCAAGATTCCACAACTGTAAGCCTTCTCAGTTGAGTTACCATACTGTCTGGGTATGTGTGTGGCATGTATGCACACACGTGTACTCAAAGAGCATTGAATCTGTAGGAAGGGTTTGTACAACAGCGAATACAGCCATTGCTGTCAGCTGCTTTCTCCCTCTCAATGCCATGCCTCACCTAAAGAGCCTCCTGTCAACTTTCTTTTTCCTGCTGTGTGTTCTCTGTGCATTTTCTTACTTTGTGCTAGTGGGCTGCAATCCTGCACCCTGGCCACCAGGCAACAATTCACTAAAAATGATTGAACTGAAATGTACTGCCATCCAATCAATTCCAACTCAACGCCACCCTGTAGGACAAGGTAGAACAGCCCCTGTGGGTTTCTGGAAGCCTTTGTTGGAGTGGAAAGTCTCATCTTTCTTCCATGGAGAGGCTGGTGGTTTAGAACTGCTGACCTTGCAGTTAGAAGCTCAACGCATAACCCACCATCCTCCAAAGAACACTGCTAATAATTCTCAAAGCTCTTCCTGGTTGCATTGACCTCTCTGACTCCACATGTTCCCCAGTTTAAAGCCAACGTGGCCAAGGCCAGTAAGGTCAGCACTGGTTCCGCAGACACTGTTACCCAGGCAGCTTCGTAGCTCCCAAGGTCAGGGGTTATCCTGCATCATCATGTTTCCTGTATCATCCACAGGAACCTGTGTTCTGAAATGCCCTTTGAAAGGTTGCCCCTATTGATGAGAGATCTCAAACAGGCTCTATTTCACTTAGTTTGGAGAGCAGCAAAGACAAGCTTATTAAACACTTGTAGCGATAACTGCTCTGATGTGAGGGTTTTCCCGGCAGAGGAAAGAGGAGGACCAGTCTCCACAGCGCGTGTCATCTTATCCACTTGTTAAAGTCATCCTCTTCAGAGGTAATCCTTTGGTGAGCGTTCACGTGAGATACAATTACCTTTACTTTCTTGG